GATGACCTCCGTTTGGTAACAGACAAGCTACCAGCTTCCTGGCTGCTTATGCTGCTCTGCTAATTAGGTTTGATTTGTATGTGCGATTTCCAAGTAATCTGTTTCTCCTATTCCGTTTGTTTACCCAGCAATTTCAGGCTGGCATTTTGACACAAACTTATTTGAGTCGTTTCATTGATTTGTATAGTGTTTCTTTGTGGTTACAGGGTTGCCAGAGCCTTGGCAGGGATATGGTGTTTTTGTAATGAATTCTCTTCTGAATTTCCTTTGTAAAAATATCAAGTCTTCTTTCTCCACAAATACCTTGAGATTATTCAGAGGAGAACTGTATCTTGATTGTGTTCTCCCGTCACATCAAGTCGGTTACAATAACATCCGACTTAAAACGCATTCCAAGGGCTAGTTTGGGTAAGGGAATAGAATAACGATCTTATTCTCAGTGAATGATTTCATAGAATCACAGAGTTGGAAGGGGCCATACAGGCCGTCTAGTCCAGGGGTGTCAAACTCATTTGTTATGAGGGCTGGATCTGACATTCATGAGACCTTGTAGGGCCGGGCCACGTGCGTCATAACAGGTAATGCCGGGTAGCGGAGATATAAACTTTATAAAGGACACAGACAAACACAATTAAAGATTTTTAAAAACTTTAAATAACACATTTCCAACAAATGTCCGCATGGTCAAAGCAATGGCATTTCCAGTAGTCATGTATGGCTGCGAGAGTTGGACTATAAGGAAGGCCGAACGCCGAAGAATAGATTCTTTTGAACTATGGTGCTGGAGAAGACTCTTGAGAGTCCCTTGGACTGCAAGGAGATCAAATCAGTCAATCCTAAAAGAAATCCACCCTGACTGTTCCCTGGAAGGCCAGATAATAAAACTGAAGCTCAAATACTTTGGCCACCCAATGAGAAGGGAGCACTCACTGGAGAAGACCCTGATGCTGGGAAAGATTGAAGGTCAAAGAAGACGGGGACGGCAAAGGATGAGATGGTTAGACAGTGTCATAGATGCAACGAACATGAAGTTAAGCCAACTTCAGAGGACGGCGGAAGACCGGAAGGCCTGGCGTGATCTGGTCCATGGGGTCGCGAAGAGTCGGACTCGACTGTGCGACTGAACAACAACAAACACATTTCCAGTGAGTTTGACATCTCTGACTGCTCAGTGCAGGATCAGCCTAGAGCATCCCTGACAAGGGTTTGTCCGGCCGTTGCTTAAAGACTGCCAGGGAGGGGGAGCTCAGCACCTCCCGAGGCTGCCCACTGCTCAACTACTCTTACTGTAAAAAATTCCCCCCCAAAATCCAGCCTATACCTTCCCGCCCACTGGAGTCCTATGATCCTCTGCTGTCAACAGGAACAGATCCCTGCCCTCCTCTAAGTGAGAGCCCTTCAAATACTTAGAATACTTAATACTTACTTCCCTTAATAACTTAAGCTGAAGTTTTCTTTCCATTTTTTTAAAAAACCCATAAGATAGTGATGGGGAATAGAAAAGAGACGCCACCACATCATGGGTTGGATCCGACCAATCATGTCCGCTAATGGAAGTGACGTCTGTCTGCGGAATGAAACTTCCCCGCCTCTCCTCTCTTTCTGCATCCCACTGATGTCCCTGAAATGCTGCCCCATGGGGTTGCCAATTCTGGGTTGAGAGATTCCTGGAGATATGGGGGGGTGGAGCCGGGGGAGGCCAGGGTTTGGGGAGGGGGAGGACTTCAGTGGGGTGTAATGCCAGAGTCCACCCTCCAAAGCAGCCATTTCTTCCCGGGGGAAATTGATCTCTGTCATCTGGAGATCGATTGTAATTCTGGGAGAACCCCCGGGCCCCATGAGAGGTTGGCAACTGTGTGCTTATATGAGGGGCAAAGGAACCCCCAGGAGCAGTTTAAGGTCTGCAGTGGGAGGGGGGAAATGTGCAAAATTCAGCCTTCCTTTTCTGTTAGTGGAACTGACTGCTGCGATCTCGGCGCAAGCTGAAATTTTAGAGTCACAATGTGGTTGTCAAGACTTTTATTTTTATCACTTGCGAGGAGGTGTGTTTTTCTTTAATTGCCAGGGAGTTGTTGGTGTGGGTTTTTGTTGTGTTTTTTTTTTGAAAAAAGGAAAGGCTTTAAAACCTGGTGTACGTTTGGAGGCAATTTGTCAATGGTATTATTCCCCCATTGCCATGGTGATATAACATCAGAGCTGAGATAACAAATTAACAGATGGCGGGTATGCAATCACGGGAAGCGCACAACTCAACAATTGAAGTAGAGACATGCTTGCTAGGAGCCCCCCCCCCAACCAGTCTTCATAACAAGGTTTGCTTTGTGGCCTCCATCGGCATCATTGTGAACTAATCCTGCCCCATTCATTTATTTTGCGGTTAGCCTGACTTCTGCTGTTGTTTTTTTTTAAAAAAAACAACAATGAAGCTATGGTTCTTCTGGTTAAAAATCCCAGTGCAAGAAGAAACATTGTTGTCCTACTATTACCAATGGTTAGGAGATCCTGCCAACCTAGCAGTTCAAAAGCAAGAAATTGCAAGTAGATAAATAGGTACCACTTCGGTGGGAAGGGAACAGCGTTCCGTGCGCCTTGGTGTTTAGTCATGCCGGCCACATGACCAGGGAAACGTCTTCGGACAGCGCTGGCTCTTCGGCTTGGAAACGGAGATGAGCACCGCAACCCTACAGTCGGATTCGACTGGCTTTCGAGCAAGGGAACCTTTACCTAAGAGATCATGGGCTGGTCCATCACGGTTTTTTTTGTTTGTTTGTTATTAGCTGTGACCACCATTTTAATATTTATGAAAATGTTTTAAATTTTAATGTTATTTTATGAACAATTTTTTTTTGTATAAATGATGTTGTTACCCACCCTGAGCCCACTTCTGGGAAGGGCAGGGTATAAATGGGAAGAAATGAAAGAAATGAAAAAATAAATAAAGCTGCCTTGTACTGAGTCAGACCCAGTGGCTGTCCAGGGTCCCAGACAGAGGTCTTTCATGTCATTTGTTGTCTGACCCTTTTTAAAGTGGAGATGCCAGGAACTGAACCTGGGACCTTCTGCACACAAAAGCAGAGGTTCTTCCACTGAGCCACGGCCTCTCATAGGATGAATCAACAAGTGCAGCACGTGAAAAAGCCAGCTGGTATGGCCTCATGCTTTAGTCATCATGCACGTACATTTATGTGGATACAGGGGAGGGATAAGTTGCATTTATTTTAGAGACTCTTGTAGACAATCGCAGAACCTTGAAGAATGATAGTTGATGCAGCTCCCACTGACAAAACTGCATTAAGGCATCCCTCAAAATGAGGGGAAGTGATTTATCAGGGGCAGAAATAGAAAACTGGCCCTCCTTGGTGTGTGGGGATAATTGGAACCTACGCGATTGCCATGGTGCAGAAATCAGCATCAGTCCAGGGCTCTTTTTGTAGAAAAAGCCCAGCAGGAACTTATTAGCATAATAGGCCACACCCAACAGCAGGAACTCATTAGCCTATTGGGCCACACCCCTGACATCACAGCTCAGTAGCACATTAGGCCACACCCACATGTTACCAGAAGTGTGGTTATCCAGTCACACCCACCTTTTGCTTGTTATTCTGTTTACCTTGTTTGTTGTCAAAACCCAGGGCCTTTTTTTGGAGCAGGAACTCCTTTGCATGTTAGGCCACACACCCCTAATGTAGCCCATCCTAATGAGTTTCTGCTGTTGGGTGTGGCCTGTTATGCTAATGCGTTCCCTGCTGGGCGTGGCCAACTTGGGAGCCTGCCGGAACTCCCTTCCTGTGCGTTCCTGCCCAAAAATAGCCCTGACATCACAAGAACCATAGCGTTTAAAAAAGAGACAGAAAAAGAGCAAAAATTTTCATTTAAAGATAGACCCACTGCTCATTCCTGTAGGCAGTATCGACTTCATCTGTTCCAGGGCTAGTAGGGTACAAGATGGAGACTGTCCAAGCTAGATCTACCAGGTTCACTTATTCCCCTCCACCAAAAAAACAAATTCCGTGTTCCAGCAGTGGGTGTACTGGGGGAGGGGACTTTCAAGGACAAAAATTTCCACTGTTTCCAGGTCTCTGAAATTCCTCTTCTGGAGAACTCAGGGCGTGTTTGTTCCCTGAAGTAATCTGGTTGGTGGCTGTCTGGGATCATTCTTTTTTAGCAAACAGAGTGGTTTATCATTTGTTTTACTGTTTTTTAATGAATGGATGGTTCTGTAGTTTGATGCAGTGGTTAAGTGTGCGGACTCTAATCTGGGAGAACGGGGTTTGATTCCCCACTCCTCCACTTGCAGCTGCTGGATGACCTTGGGCAAACCATAGTTCTGTCAGAGCTGTTCTTGAAAGAGCAGTTTCCGTCAGTGCTCTCTCAGCTCCACCTACCTCACAGGGTGTCTGTTGTGGGAAGGGGAAAGGAAAGGAGTTTGTAAGCCGCTTTGAGACTCCTCTGGGTAGTGAAGGGCGGGGTATAAATCCAATCTCTTCTCCTTCTTCTTCTTAACGTCTTTGTTGCTTGCTTCGTACCTTTTTATTGTGTGTTGTTCTGCTTATCCGACTTTTGCAAGCTGCTTTGAGTCACTGTAGATGGCATGTAACTATTTTAATGAATAAACAATAAATACAACAGTTTTGTGAAAAAATGGGGGGAGGGAATGTCTTGTTCCATTCGTTATGGGGCTTCCAATTAGAATTCTCCTGTGTCGATTGATAGAAAACTGGACAGAAGACTCTCAAAATCTTACTGGTGGAGGGTTGGCCAGAGAAGTACTATATCTGTGGCCAAGTTTCTGTTCTCTGCAATGAAAATATGGGCTGAGTTAACATCCTGTGTATAATCTACTCAGATTCTAGCCCTTAAGCTGTTAGATATATCAGGACAAATGATGTATACTGAGAGTTTATGTAGGTTATTAATTTTATAATATTTTTTTCCTGCTTTGGAATGGCCCATGGGCCGTAATAAAGACGGATTAACTGACTGCCTGACTCTCCCTTCAGGGCCAGGCCATGGCGAGGCTGAGACGAGGGAATGCATCTACTACAATGCCAACTGGGAGCTGGAGAAGACGAACCAGAGCGGCGTGGAACGCTGCGAAGGGGAGAAGGACAAACGTCTCCATTGCTACGCCTCCTGGAGAAACAACTCGGGCTTTATTGAGCTGGTGAAGAAAGGCTGCTGGCTAGATGATTTCAACTGCTACGACAGGTGATTACCCAGTTGGGGGGAAATGGTGCCCCGGCTTGGGGGGGGGGCTTGCATCCATGTGCGTGCCTTTGGGAAAGGGTACAGTCTTTCTCTGTTCTCTGCTTCTGTTTGCTCCGATGAGGTGGCAACCAATTGCCCCATGCCCAGCCATAATGATAGTTTGGCTCTGAGTGGTTAGAGCTAGGCTTTCAGTCAAGGGAGGCTCAAAATTGATGGTCACAGTCACAGAACAGACCGCAAAAAGAAGAAACCGTGAGGTAACTGCGCTAGAAGATATTTCAATAACAATCACAAAATTTATACAAAAATGTGTACAAAAAATCATATAAATGCACAAGGCAGTTGAAAATGGTGTGACGATGGTCACACACAAGCACTTTGCCCTAGGAACATTCTTTCAGAGAATTTCTTGCAACTAAGTTATGAGACATCGGCAGGGGTCGTTTCGTAGAAAAAGAGCTAGGGGAACTCATTAGCATAACTCATTAGCATATGCCACACCCCCTGACATCACCGGAAGTGTGTCATAAGGCCACACACCCTGCCCCCAATGGTCCCGGCCGCCACCGCCGGCCTTGCAGCTCCACTGAGGGCCGGAAGCGGGGCGGCCGGAAGCAGGGGGCGGGGCTTCATCGTGTGCCCCGCCCCCCGTACCTCACCCGGGGGAACTGCGATCCCCCGCGATCCCCCCCGAAATGACCTCTGGACATCGGTGAATATTAATGAATTTTTTTGATACCTACTTGTTGAAATGACAGACCAAGAGTCGCTGCTTTCATCCACTTTCGGAAGAAGAATAGTATCGAAACGATAGAACATTCCGGAGACCATCGTCACACCATTTTCAACTGCCTTGTGCATTTATATGATTTTTTGTACACATTTTTGTATAAATTTTGTGATTGTTATTGAAATATTTTCTAGCGCAGTTACCTCACAGTTTCTTCTTTCAGTTGAGGGAGCCAAACTTCAGCTAGGTTGCAGTTTATTTATTGATTCATTCATTTATTGATTGATTGCTTCTCCAAAATATTTGTTTGAGGCACCACACCAAATAAAAGCGACACAATAGAAATCCTTAGAAAAAGGAGGAAAAGCATAAGAACTGGCAGTAACTCCCAAGCCACGTAACAGATTCGAGTGATAGGATTTTGAGGGCTGTACCGTTTTGAACAGCAAGTGAAGACAGTCAGATTTGTAATACCTCCTCCTCTATGTATGCATGTAAAAACACCTTGTGAGTACAACATTAGCATATCAGGAAGAAAAGTTGTAGCCTAGTCCATCATATTCTCTGCGCTAGTATTGTACTTACAACAAGGAATTATTAATATGAAGGAACCTGGGGAAAAAGTAATCGTTCACCCTCAGCCTAAAGTGGTATGGACTACTCTGTCTCCTCATCCTCATATTAAAAAAGAAAACAGTCTTTTGTAGGACCGGCAATAAGCATCAACAGAATACAATTGAAAGCTTCCCCCCCTTTTGGAAGACTTTGTGCAAGTAGAAGCAGGCTTGCAATTCCGGAAACTCCCACTGGGGCTTGATTTTTTAAAAATATTGATGAGAAATTGACTGGTAGTTGTTAAACTGAATGAACTGAATACATGTACCTGATAAGGATGTGATAATAGCACATTATGCACTTTATAGAATGATAGTTACAAGTGGAACACGTTAATTTATACATCTCTTACAGTGTATATTTATTAGTTACCAGCCTTTGTAGACCAGGCAATTATTCCAACATTAGATAACCAAATTATAGTTGCCATTTTTTAACCAATCCAGCCATCCGTTAGAGCGGGCAAAAATGAAGGACGTCCAAGTGCATAGAGTGGCTGCAGTATAACCATGATATCTTTTCACATTTTTTTTTAAAAACTCCTGATTAAATATGGAGGTGGGCATTTATGAACTGTTTCCCCCTACAATTCTGTCACACACTTCAAGGGGACTTTGACTTTTGAAAGCTTATACCTCAAAACCCTTGTTGTTCTCCAAGGTACTAGAGGACTCTAATCCAGCTATATTTGTTTTATGTCTGTTATCCCCTGATGTTGCTCTCAACCTTGCCCTCCTTCAGAAATCTTTTATGGCTGTCAATTAGTACACATTTGTTGCTTCCCTCTTCCAAGTTCCAGTCTTTATTTGTTACAATTGTAGATCCCCTTTATGACCCTTTTTCAATCTTGTTTTTAAACTTGACATCTTTACTGAGAGGGTTGTGTGAAAATCTCTAATGAGAATTGTATGTGGAGTCACAAAGGCTATTTTCTGTCTTTATTCTGTTTGGTTTTTTCTTCGTCTTTTGGTGTACTTGATCACTCTCTGATGCTTGGTTCTCTTTTGTTCTTTGGAGTTCAGCAGTACCCCTTCTTGATCTCACTTGTATCTCACAAAGTTATTATTCTAAAGGTTTTATTCATGTCTCTTTCTTCTAGTAGAAAAGAGTAAGAGTCCAGTAGCACTTTAAAGAGTAATAAAATTTGTGGTAGCAGGGGTCATTTCCTGCAGGAGCGCACAGGAGTGGAGCTCGGGCAGTAAAGAGTTCAGGGGGCGGGCACATGCAACAAGCTCCACCCCCTGCTCCCAGCAGCCCTCAGTCAGAGCAAGAAGCAGCCAGATAAGTCGCAGACCCCCCCCCCGGCCCAAAACAGTCCAGTGGCACCTTTAAGACCAAATTTTATTCAGGTACAAGCTCTCCCTCCTCTGCGAAGACAGATCTGCACGTTCTCTCCCCCCCCCCCATAGCTAGCAATCCAAAACAGTCCAGTGGAGCCTGAGTGGTGGGTGTTGCCTTCTGACACACTTCCGGTGATGTCAGGGGGTGTGGCACATGCAAATAAGTTATGCTGAGTTATGCTAATAAGCTCCTGCGCCTCTTTTTCTACAAAATGACCCCTGTGTGGTAGGGTATGAGCTTTCGTGAGTCTGAAGAAGGGATTAGTATCTGAAGACGTGAGCAGTGACTCATGAGAGTTTGGTGTAGTGGCTAAGTGCGTGGACTCTGATCTGGGAGAACCGGGTTTGATTCCCCACTCCTTCACTTGCAGCTGCTGACAAGCCATAGTTCAGGGCAGCTCTTGAAAGAGCTCTCTCAGCCCCACCTACCTCACAGGGTGTCTGTTGTGGGGAAGGGAAGGGAGTTTGTAAGCCGCTCTGAGACTCCGAGTGAAGGGCAGAGTATAAATCCAGTCTCCTCCTCCTCCCTTTGCCACAAATTTTGTTAGTCTTTTAAGGTGCTACTGAACTCTGGGGGTGGTGTTTGGGGAGGGACCCCAGTGGGGTCCAGTGCCATACAGTCCACCTTCCAAGGGAGTCATTTTCTCCAGGGGAACCGATCTGTGTCGCCTGGAGATCGGTTGTGATTCCAGGAGAACTCCAGGCCCCAGCTGGAGTCCGGCAAGTCTGTCTTGGCCCCTTTCGGCTGTCTGCTATCCTCTCTTGGCCTACACTATCTCAGCTGGGCAGATAATATCCCACTCTGCCTTTCTCCTCCCGGCTTCTCTTCCTCTGTTCTCACGTTCCCGACTGTCTTACAGCTATTCTGTGCAAGAGCCTGATCCTTATCACAGAATCAGTATGCAGAAGAAGACAGGATTTATTATATTTAGGGGTCATTTTGTAGAAAAAGAGGCGCAGGAGCTCATTAGCATAACTCATTAGCATAACTTATTTGCATATGCCACGCCCCCTGACATCACCGGAAGTGACAGAAGGCCACACCCCCTGACATCACCGGAAGTGTGTCAGAAGGCCCGGCTACTTACCCTCCTGCTTCATCCTCATTCCCAAACGGAATGAGGATCGAAGCAGAGGGCGGGGTAAAGAAGAGGGCGGGGCTTCACCACATGACCGCCCCGCCCCCTAGAGGTTCTCTTCCGGAGCTCCGTACCTGAGAGCTCCCCCCCGACTAGAGCCCTGATTATATTTCACCTGTACGCTGTGTCTCCCTCTCTTTTTCATCTCTCGATTGCCAAGACGACCCTTCCGTCTTTCCCACATTTTAAAACTTGCCTTCCAGCCTCCTTTTTCCTTTACAGCTCTCACGTACGTTCCTTTAGAGTACAGCTCAGTGAGCAGGGAATGTGCCAAGAGAGGCTGTGGCACTCCTGGCAATGATTACAGCTCTCCTAGAGGGGCTGCGGTGGCTCAAGTGGTTAAGACGCTGAGCTGCAGACCGGAAGGTCGGTAGTTCAGCAGTTCGAGACCCGAGTGTGCCGCGTGACGGAGTGAGCTCCCGTCTCTGGTCCCAGCTCCTGCCAACCGAGCAGTTCGAAAGCAAGAAATCACAAGTCGATAAATAGGTACCACTTCGGTGGGAAGGTAACAGCGTTCTGTGCGCCTTGGCGTCTAGTCATGCCGGCCACATGACCATAGAAACGTCTTCGGACGGCGCTGGCTCTTCGGCTTGGAAACGGAGATGAGCACCGTAACCCTAGAGTCGGATTCGACTCGAGCAAGGGAAACCTAGAGGAAAAATACCCCATATAGGAGACCAGTATGGGGACTTGCCATCACTCAGGGCTAGGACAGCTTCTTTGTATGCAGAAGGTTCCCGGTTAGATCACCAATGTCTCCAGTAGAAGAATTGAAAGCAGCAGGTGTTGGGGAAGGGGGACTTCTGCCTGTCTGCACCCCTGGAGGGTTGCTGTCAGTCAGGTGACGTCATCAAGAACTAGACGAACAAATGGTCAGACTTGATATAAGGCAGCTGCGTATGTTTAAATGTCGTCACTGCGTACTGCTTCTCTAGCCAACGCCTGTTAATTCTGTCGCTTTCTCGCTTATATTTCTAAAGCTTATTGTTTCCTGACGGTGCAACCCTTAACGGAACTATACCCTTCTAAATCTGTAGCAGCCCCAATCGCCCAGACTAGCCTGAGCTTGAGAGCTTGGAAGATAAACAGGGTCCATACTAGCCTCATCATCAGAGCTTGGAAGATAAATAGAGTCAGTGCTAGGATGGGAGACCACCAAGGAAGATTGGAGTTGCT